GCCGCCCGAGGCGTTGGCGCCGCAGCCCGGACAGCCCGATGCGTTGGCCAGCGCCCACCAGGACGTATTGGGCCCGGACTTGGCCAAGGCGCGCATGACTTTGTCGCCCTCTTTCTATCGATCGCTCTCCGGGGCGTCCGGGGATGCCCCTGCGGACCCCGGGGAGGATCTCGGCTGGAAGCCACCGGGTTTGGAAGGTGGCTCCTCCAGACTCAGCGGCGCCTCTGCTCTTGCCGCAGCCGCCTCGCATTTATACCCCATTCCCGCCTTGTCCCCGCCTTCCTGCCTTCCTGCCTCTCCTGCAGGCGCTCTTGCTCCTTCCTCTGCCCGTGGCCCTCCGCGCGCCTGCCCAGCAACCTTACCCCCATTCGCTCAGCTTCTCCCCCTGAACGGCAGGGTGAGAGCACTGGAGAAGAGGGACTGGGGGAAGGGTTGGCGCAGAGCGGGATGGGATGGGGTAGGCTGCTGTGCAGACTGGAGGGACCCACCCTGACCAGGGGGTATGGACTCACTGCCCAGGTTCTGGTGGTTAGAAGATGCCTCTTCTTTTAGAACACAATCTCCCTGGATTTGGGTTGCTGCAAATCAGACCCCTTAGGGGTGTCCACCTCCCAGCTCATGGGCAGCTATTGGCAGACACCTGTACCGCTGGTGGTAGGTGCCCGGTGGTGGACTCTGTTGTACCTGAAAACCCACACCTAGAAATGAATCCCATAGACTAGCCTAGGTACCAGGATGGTCGCCATTGTGGAGTGCTTGGCAGCAGAGAATAAGATGCTACCATTTGTATAAAAAGACTAAAATGGGGGAGAAATGAATAGCTATGCACAGGCATCAAAGCACATCAATTCGGAGAAACCAAGATGGCAGCATAGGTAAACACCGGAAATTGCTGCCTCCCACAACAAATTCAAAAATACAATGAAAAGACAAAACGGACATCATCCAGAACCATAGGAAGGCTGGCTGAGTGGAAATTCTACAACTAGAAGGAAAGAGAAAAGCACACTGAGACTCAGAGGAGGTGTGGAAGTGCAGAGGCACGGAGGTGCACCTGGCAAGGGCTGGCAATTGAGGACGCGGCTGTCTTTTTGAATCGGGAGGGAGTCACAAGCCCCCAACTGCTCTGAGCTCCAGTTCCAGGTGAGTCTCTGGGGACCCAGACTCATACGGGGAGAAACTGGACTGTCTGGTAACGGACAGAACTCGGAACTCAAGGGCCACTTTCTCTCAGAGGTGCTTGCAGCGATTACCAGGACACTGAGACGGGCCCCTTAGGGCAGGGCTGAGGATCATCCATAGCTGCTTGCTCCGCCCTGTTGATTCCCTGAGACCACGCCCCACCCAAGCTGCAGCAGAGGCTTTTGCATATGAATGCCCTGGCCCTTTGCAATCTGAAAATTACCTAAAAAACTGCAGCTGGGCCAGACAGACCAAGAACTTCCAAGAGAAGGCCCAAGGCCCCACAGCAGCTTGCATTGCTTCACAGCTGGGCCTCATTTGGGCACCTCAAAACCCCAAACAAGGAAAGGGAATCTGCAGATCCCTTCGTAGCTCCTGTTAGGTAGCCTCAGGCAGAGGCTAAATTAGCACATCCTTAGATCCAAGAGCCAGTGTACCCAGTGGTGAGAGTGGGACCATCCAGATTACAACTTCTCAGATCCATAAGGGACACACTCAAGGGACAGACTCAGTGAGCACCAAAGCCCCACTGAAGCAAGTCTTGCCCCAGAAGGGTGTC